TAGTATCCTTCGCTTGTCAGTCTAAAGTAGTCACCATCTTTGTCCAGAACTTTCATCGACCTATGCTCTATCACATTCAAATCACTTTACCCTTATATTGTTTGAACAAAGTTATGAATCTGATGTATTTATAAAGCGCAGTGCTCACAAATCACCATCATTTGCACAAAACTAAGGAAATGAGATGCATTTACCTGAGTTCGTAATCACAGCATTTATTCTATCATAATGACTCCGATATGCACCCAAAGCAATGTCATTTGGATGTCACAGAAACAAAACACTCAACATATCCTTTTTGCTATACAATGTGAATGCACAGTAATTCAAGCGACTGTGTTCAAAGTCATGAAATATAAAATTTGTAGCAAGTTGTGCATTCATTTTGCTATATCTAATCTTAATAAAACTGAAGGTGTAAGTGGTGCAGACAGTATCCTGAATTTTGCGTAGTTCTATCCTCAAAAGCTCTGAAAGGTATCAGCAGCGGGTGCAGCAAAACTGTATTTCTGTTTCGCGTTCGAACATAAATCTATACTAGAATTCTAGTTGGTTTATATAAAAATTCCAGTTAAGTCTTCAAGTTTCTACAATAGGTTTTCATTGTTTTTAATATGCATGGTACTTTTATACGCAATAGAAGAAGTTCTCTAATAAAATCAAAACAGGGTTCGATAGTTACGACTTTTGGTGAAGACATCGATCTTAATCTCAATTGCAATCTAATTTAGCCATGATTGGTGACGGAAATCAAAAATAATCACTGAGTGTTTACCGTTATCAGTTTCTATTGTCGCAACAAGACCATGCTTCAAAAACCTAGAAAGTTCATGTTTATTAATTTACGTTGTATCATTCGGATACAATGAACGGACGGATTTTCTACAGCTTTGACTCAAAACCCACATTCCCACGTAATGACTGTCTCAGTCTCTCAATCGCCAGATGAAGAATGTTTTTAGTATTTTATATAACAGGACCCGTGCAACGATACCGCTGATTGTTCTCGAGTGTTGAGAGCTGCCCACCACAAATGATCAATGTATTCAGCAGATACCTCTCACAATTTCTTTTCCTAGTTTCTGCAAACAGCTATGGGAATTCGGAGGCGGTTAAGAGACGAGATTTCTCGGACTGGCACCTAATCAAAGCCCGCTGAAGTAAACGAGTCTTACCGAAAAGGGATCATGCTCACTAGCTGTTCAGTTGAGTACTTGCTGAGTTTGACCCCTTTTGCTGTATAGAGCGAAATATTTATAATTTGTAATTGATTTCATCTTCACGGGTTTTTGACCTCCACCACTTGTGTTTTGGATCTACTTTGAAACAGTAACATAGCAATAATCGCAACTATAATATATACCCTAATTTCCGGGGTATAAGGCGCAGTTGCTTTCACCGCGCGCGGACTGATGTGCGATGACGTTCGCGATGCGCGGCGCCTCACAAGCTGCCAACAGCAAATCTCTACCTTTTCTTTTATCAAGAATGACAAGAATAAAACAAAAACAGCATCTTCAAAATATCAGTAGCATCATTGTAAAGAAAGGACCGTTTCAGTAGCAGTAGCGTTATTGGAAACGAAGAAAAGCACAAAATGCAGCACAGGCAACATCATTGGAAACAAAAGAAAGAATCATCTAAACGTCATAAACACCACTGAGAACATCTTCCTCCCACCTGTAAAAACGATTTCAAAGTATACGTTCTAAGAAGAGTAAAAAAAAGTACCTGAAGGCATGATTTGTAAGAAGTGAAGAATAATTACAGCGCACTGAGTCTTCAGCTTTCTAGATTCAGACAGCAATCATTTGAAAAGCGTTTTTGCGCCATTGTTCGCTGCGGTGGGTGCGCCTTATACAAGGTGCGCCTTATATCCCGGAAATTAGGGTAGTATACTTATCGAGAAACAAAATGCTTTGAAAGATTATGAAACATCAATTATAACGTTAAACACTAATTATTGCCATTTCATGTCTATCTCTCAAATTCAGCATCTTCTGACATACATATGTCATGTTCTAGAATTCTAGAATTTCTAGAATCAAATTGTAAAGGTCAAACCCATCATGACATGATGCTCTCACAAATCGCTTGGATTTGTCACGATTTGCTTTGCGATCTAGACGATGCACAAGGTTGTAACAATACTCATAGTAGCAAAGAAACTGCATAGCTCTGTGCAGAGATGAGGTCTAATAGTGACGTTTGTGGAAAATGGGTTTTGATATGTCGTCGTCTTCAAAAGATACTCTTGTTTAGCAGCGCTTTAGGATTGCCGTCTTTCATTTTAAATTTGTATTTGCACAGAAATAGGACGTGTCAGGTCTTCAGAGCTTCCCATGCCTTAGACAAACCATTATCAGCTTCATAGTCAGCATTTCCTCTCTTCATATGTTGCTCTCGGAGAGTGATGAACGAGTATGATATAAATGTACTTGTAGGCATATTGGAATTATTTTATAATTCAGTCTCCGAAAGGAAAGCTATTCTGGGTCATGGAAAGCTCGTAAATTCCGTGCGGGCGCCTCCTATAATACAAATTACTAATTCGGAGAGAGTAAAGGTGCAATGATTCCTGCTTTTTGTTTTCCAAATCCAAGTATAGGATCTTATATCCACCTCAGTCGAAGGTGCTTAAGTTTATCCAAACGTATTACATCTAGGTCAGATATACGTTGGCATCAGAAAGGATGCCCCTAAGAGCTAATTTGAATTGACGTCAGTCATATCTCTATAAGTTAGTAATCCCATCCGTTTTTTTTTGTATCGCCCTCTCTCGCGAAATCTGAATTTAAGATCTGTACAGTCAGTAAGCAAAGCTAAGCACATAAAATCTAACAAAATCTTCGGGTCGTGTGCACCTGACTGAAAATTCTGACGCATAGTAGCATTATAAGTGCTGGCAAAAGTATTCACAGTTTCCTCACGATTAAGTACGTATGCATAGTCTTTGTCAACTCACGAATCAGCTGATGCAATTGCACAAGTTCTCGAAATCCTCGATATGTCAAAGCACAGCCTCATCTGAATTTTTTTCATGCTATTTTCGTTGCTCTTTTGTCTCCTCAAATATAGTCATTCAAATGATAAATATTGTCATACCATTTTGTGAAGCTTTTGGTCAGACACTTGCCTTTTCATCGGAAGTTGAAATGAAGAATGGAACAGTAGAGAGTAAGATTTTTACGCTTGAATAGACTTCATATGAATGTTACGTCGTGGGTAAGAGTAACCCATGCAAAAACTCTTCATTATTTGCAAATACCCTGCGCTTACTTATAGAGTAGATGAAAGAATGTCCCATAGAAGTAGCCTCTTATGAAAGCCGTTTCATAAGTTCGTAGCGTTTTCATTTCCGTCCTCAGTTCTTTGGGAGCGGTCGATTTGCTGCAAGATGCGTATATCGTTGGAAAAGGCGGATCACGCTCTTTATATTGTACTAACTGGTTTTGATGGAAAGCTACTCCGTTTTAGCTTCCGAAGATGGAAATCTCAGAAGGCAAAATGGTGCATTTTCAGTATCATAATTGCTCAAAAAAGGAGGCGTTTTTGCATAGCGAAAATGCCGTTTGCTCTGCAACATAAGACTGAAGATAGCTTGCTTCAAGAAATCAAAGGCTGGTCTCGGTGCCCTCAATAAAACCTTTCGGGGAGGGGCAGGGCGTCCTGCGCTGGAAACTCCTGGACAAGAAGAATAGAGTGACCATACCGTGCAACCCAACTTCACCGTTTAAACGCATATCGCAGAAAAAACCCAACAGACAGAGTTTATTTGCATGAGAGAATGTATGACCCTCTGCAAAAGTCGTCAAAAAGTTGTCTTGCAAGATTCGACTGGAATGTACTTCAATGCTCACGTACTCCCCAAGTTTCGCCTAATTAGATTATCATTTGTTCCTCTCTCTTGCAAACCTCCTGTATGGTGCACGTCACGATTTCAGAGATCAAACTGAGGCTGGTTAGGTGACATTCTTGGGACCCTTGTGATTGATAAGCTGACAGGAATATAGCAATAGTTTGTGCGCTACATAGAGAAATAGATGCATCATTGACTGATATTTACTGAACGAACTCATGAAATGACACAACATATCACACCTGGAAGCTTATACGCACTAAGAAATTATGCATACAAACGCAATATCGGCAAATTTGTAAACTTCAGTTGCATCAGAGTCTTTGAAATGACAGTTATGCGTCTATCCACATAGGAACTTGGAAAGGACCAGATGACCGACAGGTATTTTCATTTGACTCAAATATTCCATTAACTCTAATTCCATTCTATCTGCTCTAAGACTCATAATGAGCACTTACTGTGACTCAATATTTGAGCAATTCCAGATACACAAGCCTTCAGTAATTCCCTCTAATGATGTGAAAAGAGCTCCGCCCATTCGGTTACATCTTCACGCATCACAGCAGAATTGTATCGTCCGATGACCAACATCAATGATGCTCCCACTCTCAATTAGCGATTTACTTGATAACTGTGGGAACATCGAGATCTCTCTATTGGGCAGAGTTTGGATGCACAGGCTCATTTTGCACGCATTTGCTTTCAAATAAATTGTTGGCAATTAGTGGAACCAAGCTTTAAAAGGTCGACTTTTGCTTGGGATAACGCATTTTTATCCACCTGTGGCAACGTCATATATGTACAATACTTTCTTTCTGCTCAGTTTATCTATCAATTCATCAGAAAGAAATTACTTCAATTTATATAACCTTATATATGGATAACCAGTTTCGCATGTGTACTGCAAAAATTTTTAGATTTCACACAGTTTGTGAATGCTTGAGTAATTCTTCCCAAAATCCAAGCTTGAATGGGCCAGAAATGCAGTTTATAACATCACCGTTATTAATATAGAAGCCACAAGCTAGTAGATTCATCAGCGTGTGAGCACACTTCCAATTCCATCAAGTCAAGTAACCGTAATTACCATCGTTATGCGTCATAATCGTCTTCATGAATCTGCTGTCGGCTTTTGCAGATGTGGTCACTCTATGACCAACTATTTTCGTCAATATTTTGGTGCACTGGTACGGTGGCCATTGTTGTTAACTGTTATTTGCTATATTTGATATTCTTTGTCGCTCCAAGCACACTACATGTTTACCGGGTATTCCTTGCAAATGTTGCTCTTGGTGATCTCGTTTTTGCTGCTGCCACGACTTTCGCTCAGATCAGGTATGATTTGTTGATGTGTTGTTACCAAAGTACTACGTACAACCTTTCTGCTCAAATTCTACTACCCCCCTCAAAAATAGTGTGAAGCATTCATCTGCAGACGCAAACACATATCCTATACAAATTCAAGGAAGTGAAATAGAGTGCAGCCTAAAGTGCTCTCAATAGTCCATCATGTACCTGCAAACTGAAGATACTTAGTAAATGTCATCTCAGAGTGAAGCTGTGCTGTATACGTTACAGATTGGCATTAATTAAGATTTTCCTTACCTCTGGTGAGATCTACGAACATTAAACATAAAGTAATGCAAGAAAATTACCACTCTTATGTAGATAAGCCGCGCGCTAAGTTTTTGAGGAAGCCTAATGCAAAAGATATTTTTGAATTTACCGCCTCACAGCGCACTTGCGCAGGTGCGTTACGTGCGTTTTATACCCACTGTCACTCACTCTTCTGCCTCCTCTCGCCCCCCCCCCCCCCCGTTTGCAGGACCACTGGGTCCGGCATGGCAATTTTGCTTGGCGAGCCTCAACAAGCAGAATGTTGTGAGAGATGACAACTTCTGCTTATGTCGCGAACAGTTCTTGATCAAAGTGCAGCTCTTGTATATAAACTCAAAAGTACGGACTAGATCCAAAAAATGTCGCCGCCCCTCCATTCTCTCCCTCCCCCCACCGACTGCGAGTGCTGACTTCGATAACCGAATTCCTTGAGTACGTTCCCTTTTCTCGCTACCGATAACTGCTCCGCCAGTCGCGCATATTTTGTCTTTTTTTTTGTTGGGAGCAGACCATACGATGATGATTTGCCATGCAGCGATCGTAGTCTAGTCAGCTATAGTCGTGATTTTTTAGTCAAGCTCTTTATGAGAATACACTTCTTTGTGATCTATAGTGCAGCTGCTGGGAGGCTTCGAGGCACGTTTGAATCGCACAGTCACTCTCGTTGTTGTTTTTTTTCTCGTCGTTCGAGCTTTCTTTGATATCCATGCAATTATGGGAACACGTTCGTTGCTGTAAACGCTGTGTTGGGGTAGGGGAACGAACACCTCAATTGGGCCACGCCTCCGCGGGGGGTAGAGGAACGAACACAATTCGGCACCGTCGCTGCGGTCTGCTGGTCCTTCCGTCCTGCTGTTGGGCATCGTGTCAGGACCAGTGGTCCGCGGAGGCGGTGCCTAATTGAGGTGTTCGTTCCTCCACCACTCCGCGGGCTGCTGGTCCTTTCGTCCTACTGTTGTGCATCGTGTCGACCAGTAGTCCGCGGAGGGGTGCCTAATTGAGGTGTTCATTCCTCTACCCCTGTGTTGTGATGTTTAGTCGAGCTTTGTTGACCTCACCAGTTGCACGCAGATGGTACGGCATTTGCTTTTTTGCTTATCCTTGCGTCCATTTGAAGTTGTCCTCTACTCATCGATCGCACGGATTGTCCGCGGCTAAAAAGATGTGAGGGTACGACCTGTACAATTGCGATTTGTATTACTAAGGTCCGTATGCACTAACATTTTTGCGGCGAGGGGAGCGGCGTCCCCCGTTATGAAGGGACCGCGTGCGGACGCCGCTGCGGCTTCTTCATCATTGGGGACGCCGCTCCCCTCGCCGCAGGGATGTTAGTGCATGCGGCCCTAAGACAAGCCATCACCGCGGTCGCGTGCGCCGCAGTGACGGGCATTCTGTGCGCTTGACGAATTACCTATAAAGTGAAAAGCTATTGTAGTACAATGATACAGCCCAGAAAGAAGAAGAATGTCACGCGCCAATGAACCATGGCATCAAAAAAGTAGAGGGAATTGAAAAAGTTATGACAAACTGCTATAAGGCCTCTGGCAGAGTTCAAGCGAATTGGTCATCGCGGTTCAATCGCTACAAGACAAGTGTTACGAGTTCATTGCATGCCGATCTTTTTGTGTTTCGGTTGTGATAGTTATCCAACACGACTAATCGTGACTAACTATCACAACCGAAATACAAGAAGATCGGCATGCAATGAACTCGTAACACTTTTCATGTAGCGATTGAATCGCGACGATCAAATCGCGGGAACTCTGTCCGAGGCTTAAGAATTAGAACCCGGACATCCCACTCGTGCATATTGAAATTATGCAACGAGGAGATGATTTGCCAAGAGAGCGCGTCAATAGATTTCAACATAGCAAACAGTGATTTAGATGCAAGTAGAGTGATAAAGGGTGTGCTGCATGTACCAACACAACATACAATAATCTGTCCTCAAAAGCCAAGCTGAAACAATAAAGAAACAAAATATTGCTTTCAAGATGTAGAAGTCGGATACGATCACAAGTAGCGGTTTCGGATCGATTTTCTTGGAACCCATTCAGACAAACTAGTCCAAAATCTACTTCGCTAAATTATTCCCAGAACTTCGAAAAACATTTCCAAACTTCGTCGATAGTGGTTACTCGACATGTCACACAAATGTAGTCCTTTCGCATGTTGACTGAACTTTTATCGAATTATGGTAGGTACAGTCACGTTGAATTTCCGCTTTAATATGGTGTGCTTGCACTGTATAGGGCATTCGAAAAATCGTGATGATGGCGCGACCGCGCGCAGCGCGCACGCACTCCCAACTCTTGTTTCTCTACTCAAATAGTTTTTCTTTGCATATAATAGTATTCAGGCACTGGAAGTGACTGAGCTTAGCGTTGAGGTGTTGTCTGTTTGTATAGATGTTTTATCCTTCTTTGTGCGGAAAGACGCAATCAACTCGTCGTCACGATTTACCCTATTTTCAGGTGTATAAGCCGCACCCTTTTTGCCCTAAACGCGATCAAACCCAGGCGTGCCGCTGCGCATGTGCCCCGCGAAGCGGTCGCTTTCTCGCACATTGCTCTCACTTAACGCGCCCCATCGTAACAGGCAGTCTTTTGGCGTGTGGGCCTTTAGAGTGAAAAGGGTGCGGCTTATACACCTGAAAATAGGGTAAATAAATAACAGGTGAAATGCGGTAAAATTTGCGCGTGAAGTAGCTCGCCTGTGCCGCCTTCCACTTGCGCGCGAAGAATGCCGGCATTATTAGTGTGGCTAATTTTTTACGCGCAACTTTTACCGCATTTCACCTACAGTGCAGGCACACTATATTGAGCGGAAAATCTACTCGACTGTATACGATAAGGGGTCAGACAGATTTATAGTGGAGGATCGTCATGATTACCATTCATCTCGTCAAGGCGACGCTTTATGCAAGTAGGTGCGACTCACTCTCAAATCAACCGTAACCTACAACAAAAACCCTAGAATGCGGAATGAGTACCACCTAGAACATCGTAATTAGCGTGGAATGATCCTCATCTAAATTTCAGCCATCTCATTATATCCCTTCCGCATACCTACAGTAACCTGCTCGCACGTGCGGTCATGACGTGCGTGAATGAATGCGTACACTGACATTCGTTCCGTACGAGCCGCGCGAATTTTGCGTACGAGCGGACTCCTCAACCTTCGCCCGCTAAATGCGCTCGGGTGATACGCGAATTTTGCGCCGCTGGTACGCTGTCACTTCGTCGCCGCTGGTACGGTAATTTCCTGCTTGAGTCGCTGATATGACAATTTTGTGTTAACGTCACCCGATATGGCAGTTTCGGAAATCACGTCCGGCTACAAGACTGAGCAACACAGAGGTGCTATCGAAGATTGTCTGGAGGACCACCTTCCGACTATGTCCTTGTGTAAGTATTGTAAACACATTCAATTCAAGTAGCATTGAGGGCAGCCTAACCACTGCGTCGTACCTTACGCAAGTATCCTTTACGCTTATAACGTGTGAAAATTACGCCATAGCTTTTGTGCACTTAGAAATGTGAAAATTGTGACGGAATGCATAAATAATCGCGCACAAACTCAAACGTTTTTCTTTGACTATGGTAGCCGTGAACACGTGGACCTGCCTGAAAAGCTGCAGAAGCTTAAATTAGTGGTACGCGGCTCGTACTTCTGAAGGCACGCGGCCGGTGCTGCTTGTCAACTGCGCGCCGCTCGTACTCGTGCACGCCGAATTGCGCGTCGCTCGTATAGGGGGGACGCTATGGAACGCCGCTGATCCTAAAATTTAGATATTATGGTACGCCGCTTGTACGTTCGAAGGCACGCGGCCGGTCCTGCTTGTCAACTGCGCGCCGCTCGTACTGATACACTCCAAATTGCGCGCCGCTCGTACTGATACACTCAAAATTGCGCGCCGCTCGTACTCAAATCCGACTGTGTCGCTCCGCTCATACGCTCGACAGGCGCGGGTCGTAAGAATTGTTATTTTTGCGCGCCGTTCATCCGAAAGGCGGCGTGGCGTTATGGAGCAAAGCTACGCCGCATTCGCCTGCGGTATATCCTGAGGGCCATTTGCGTTGCGTCGCTCCTAACTGCAGTCGCGGAGGAGCTAGCGCTGCCCATCGGATTGAACTATTCTTCATATTCTCCATAGATAAAGAGTTCAAAATGTGGAAGATAAACGGATTTTTAGGATGAATCAGAATTAGAATATGAGGAATAAGTGTCTGCAGATCAAGGAATCAAAGAAAGAGGAAATTGAGTTCTCTCAAAATGTAACCGACGGGGAATTTCTGCCCCTTTTTCTTTAGCAATTCTCGCGTTCCACTTCTCTTGAGCACCTTTGACTTGAATTTAGCCTCTAATTCATCCCAGAATTGTTCCCTAGAATTCATTATTATTTCGATTTTTGGTGTTCTCATTACAATTCTACAGTTTGAACATCTTAGAGTAGCAATAGGAAAAATGGTTCAATCCGCTGGCAAGAGCAGCTCTACTCCTGCGGCTGATTGAATTGAACGTGACGCAGCGCAATTGTCCCTCAGGATATACCGCAGGAGAATGCGGCGTTTCTTTGCTCCATAACGCCTGCCCCCCCCCCCCATCCGAAACGAATGTCAGTGTACGTCTCGAAAAACATTCACGAAATCCCAAAGAATCCCTTGATTTTCAAATATTGAAGCCCAGATAGCGGAATGCAACTCAAGTTTTCACTAGTGCTTTGTCACAGGCAATGCAAATAAACAGATGTGCTTTCTTACTTTAATCCGTTTTCGAGTTCGCTAAGATCCCATGCGTCTAACAGGAAGGAAGGCTACACCGCCTAGAATAAAACGCTACCCAAACGAGTTTGTACTTCAAGCTGTGTTCACCATACTTGGTCCAAGCAAACATGGTCAAGTTTAGGATTATTCCGAACAAATGGGCGTTTGCATACGTTTCTTTGGGACCGGCAGCATATTTTGGATCAGAGGTGTCTTATATTGCTTATTGCGTCCAACTACATGCCCTTTTCTACACGTTCTTGTCATTTCCGCTTTCGTTTGGGTTCCGATATCATGTTTTGATCCGTCCTATGCCGGGAGTCAAGCGCTGCATATTTATATGCTTCTGCCTTTGGCTAGTCGCATTCGCTCAGCACGTAAGTTCAAATCTTATTACTAGGCCTGCTTCAGGAGCAACAGGCTTGCTTCAAACGTTCCTTTCAGATACTGTTTATTTGCTCTCAGACTGAAGCCAGTTTCATTAGAGAGTATCTGGCTATTAATAAGCCGGGATACAATATTACTGATCTCGTTATCTCCGGAAACCATATGATTAAAAATCCTCTGACTGCCATCACGCTTGCCACTATTGTCCTGCCAATGTTTCCGATCTATGTGCTAGTGATCTATTTTTACAAGAAAGTTCATGGATATCTCGACATCAACACTACGGTGAGTAACACCGCTTCAGTAATATGGGTGTTCTATGGTTGATTCTTGAAGAAAATTTCCAGTAAAAGTAAAACCATGAGTGGTAAAATCTTTCACTTCAGACGGCGTGCTTCGATAATAAATGATAAGATGGAACAGAAATGAGCAAATACCACTTTGGGAGAAGGGATGGGGGCTACAGAGTAGTTCCGGGCAACAGAGTTTTCCCTACTGAGTGGGCGGGACTGACCCTTCGTCATCAGATGAACGGGAATGTTTTGAGGATGCGGTCCTTTCGCACGACAGTGTTCGTCGCCGCGAAAAAACTTTCAGTTCCTGAAAGGCAGCATTTCGCCAAAATGGGGTGGCGTTGCTTTTGTAGCAAGCAGCCCCTCCCCCCTCCCCCCCCCCCCCTCCCCCACTTAAACGATAGCCGAAGCTCGGGGTAAAAGAAGGGGTCTGCAAAAGCTATTCGCTCCGAAAGCGGCCCGGATCCCGCCTTCGCTCCGGGTGCCGCTTAGTCACCGATTTCAGACTCCAAGCTAATGCGCATGGCTCAACGTCAGGAGCCACACCGTTCAGCCGCCGCCTTGTGGCGCACGAGTTCTTGTTCTCCAGAATGCTCTCCGGTGTGATAGTGGCACGACGGGGGACTAGGCGGATGAGGGGCGGTGGCAGATACACGAGTTGATGTCATAAGTTACATAGAAAAGGAGTATTGGTGGGAGCTGTCTCTAGTACTGCTAGAAGTTGCACTGCGCCACCTCGCGAAATTTCGCGCCGTGACTCCTAACCGTTTTCCCACGCATCTACATTCAGAATAAGGGCCTCGGAAAGCCTTATCGCGATATTTCCGCGTGCAAGCTACACTTCTGAACTCACCGGGACGGGACGGGTAAGCTCAGGTAAGCGGAAGACTTCCATGGCGAGGTTTCGCAAAGACGCTGGCTTTGAGGGCACCTCCGAAATTGGTGAGAGTTTGACGTTGCCTGGGTGAGAGTTTGACGTTGCCTAACAGCGCGGCCCTAAGCAATCGCCAACTCCCGCTGCAAAAAAAAAATGTATTCCGAAGCGGGAAATACGCTTCACAAAGCAGAAGTGGCCCATGTGGCCTCATCCCTCAACGTGGGTGGTCTAAAGATAAAAAGTCCAAAATTGAGCTTGAATGACTATATCTAGAATTGTCATAAAGTCGCGACACTTCGATCTACCCTGAAGCCCGCTTTCGAGCTCATAATCTTAAGACCACCCACGTAGTTAGACAGAGCCAACTGAGCCGTTTCTAAGTTCTGGAGCGCACATCTCGCTTCAAAGTCCATTGCAACGGGCGTTGAGCGATTACCTAGTTATTATTATAAAGCATCTAAATCTTAGAATCTATAGAGTAGACGGTGTTTTTAAGCAAAGAAGCCGGCGTGCCATGACGATCCTCTTCGGACATCCTCTGATAGTACAGTCGCGGAAATCGGCCTACGTCAAAGTGCATTACCCCGTACTGCCGATTCTGTCTGCTTATGCCAGGGGATTCTTGATGACCACTCACTGTACAAATATTTTGATGTTTTCACATCACATGAAGAGAGGAAACAATTACCATCACCATGCCGCCACGGACTACTGGTCTTTTAGCTCATGCTACATGTCGTGTGAGGAGCGGTGTGCGGAGGTGGCGTCAACTTTGATAGCAAAATTGCTTGTCGGTGCGAACTTCACAATCGCAAAGACATACCCCTCTGCGACAATAAAAAACGTGGGGTAAGGAACTTATGCCGCCAAGTCCGCCGCGGCGTAACGTTCGCTACATGTGTGGTGCAGCGTGATGCAGAAAGCGACATTCTTAAACTTCACGCACAAAACAAAAGATCCGCGTACATATGTATCGGCCACAACAGGGACTGGGGTCTGGGTTAATACCGTTTCCAAGTGTCCGCGTTTTGCTAGGGACTCCATTACCCACCAAAAACGGGCAGAACGAGAAGCAAGAAAGAACGATAAAAGTCAGACTGCGCTGCGTATGCGGCGTGCGCCGCGCGCCGCGCGGTGGTCCAACATTGAAAAGTCGACGTCCGCGCACGCCTCGCTACATGGGCAGACACCTTCGTCTGTGACTAGCTTTTACTATCACTAAGTGGGCTATCGCTAACCTAGAAATAAGTTATTTGTCCTCACATGAATGTATTAGTCCGTAGGACGGGGCCCCTCTAAAGAGCATAGCTCCTTTGCCCAAGAGAGGCTCCTGCTGCAAAGTCCTCAAGCGGTCGCTGGCAATGATACAGAGCTGTGTGGTTGCCGTCATGAAGTGGCGCAGAAAAGGGTCAACTACGTCTCAAATGTCTTATCACGCTTAAGGCACTGATCAAAAAAGCTGACTTCAGTAATCGTTTTACTTCCAGAATATGCGCGAAGGCACAGTCAAAGGACATAGACGGTTAGTCCAGGTACGTTTTCGGTTATAAACTAACTTGTTGATATGCGGTTTTTGACAGGCGCATTGCACTTTCTAGAATAGCAGTTTCTGCGCTCTCTTCTTCAGTTTGACTCCTATAAGCAACAGCATGTACCACCTTCACTGCCGAACGAACATGATCTGCTCTTAAAAGAGACGAAGCGGAGCTAACGCAATCCTATCACTTTTAGAGCGACGTATGAGACGCGGAGCCGCAGTAGATGGCTCGCTCCCAGACTTTTCCTACACTTGTGGTCAACACTAGATTAGGTGTAGATACGATCTATTATCCTCTGCCAAAGCCGTACTTTTCGATAGCCACCATGTGCTCCACTAATGCGATGCCACCTCGAAGTCTTTTCAACCCGATTTAGACCAAATCTCGCAGCGGTTCTCGCAGTATAGCGATGGCGCTGTTCTGAGTCTTGACCAGTATCCTTCACCTCCTGTACTCCTGGGCCTCAGTTTGGCAAAATGCTAGGGTTGCGGACGCGCCGCTCCACATGAGATGCTTTGCCTGCATTGGGTTGAACCAGACACAGGGGATTGCTATCTGAGTGTAGTTTACAAGTAATTTCATTTTTGTATTATAAAATCGCGTTCGTTGTAAATTACCGTACCTTGTAAAACAAATGATCCAGTTTTGAATCTTCTCGCCAAAAAAGCCAGCATATCCAAAAATTGTATCCTACAAAACCAATCGTGCAAAATTTTGAATAACGAGCACAATGAGGGGCAGAGAGCTGCGCTACAAATACACATTAAGACTTCCACAACTTTTCGAATCAACATGATGTCCGTAAATTAGCGACCTTAAAAAATCTTTGTTTGCAAGCTATACAGAACTTTTGTTATATCAAGAAAGTGGACTTGCGACTTTTTGTAATAAAATCAAATAACGGAGTTGTTTTCGTTTTCTGACGTTGAAAAAGTAGAACAAGTTGAATACCAGACTTCTCCACTTCCTTAAGGAAGCTGAAAAAATTGCTTGCTTTCAGAATTGTTAGAGTATCTTGTAGCAAAAATCTTGGTTGATTCAGTGGTCTAGGTCGGTTGCGGCTAGGTAGTTTTAGGTAGGTTGCGCAACGCACGTAGCAAAACGAAGTTTGGATTTACCATTGAAGCACTTGAGGCCAGAAACTTTTCAAACACCGTGTACCTCAGCTGGGCGATTCAGTCTTCTTTACCCAACAGACAATACAAAGATATGATCCGCTTACTGCTGCGTACAAAAGCTTACATCAACTTCCACAAAAATAGATTTAGCTGCACATATAAAAAGCAAGTGGCACGGTTATTAGACAGTTATATAGACGATTCAGCTACAGGAACCTATTCTAGGCTCTCGTGATCCAGGCTTCGCTACCTCTGCTGTTCATCTTTCCTCCGATCTTGATATACGGCTTATACCACCTTGAGTTCATCAACTTTACCATAATAGAGTATCTTGTATATGTTCTATTCAGGTTGGCAGCATTAAAATCAATTCTGTTGAGTACATTTGCGCCGCTTGAGGAAGCCGATTTGCTTACACTACAACTCTGTTTCAGTTTCTATCCAGCAACAAGTCCCTTTGTTACGCTATATTTTGTGAAGCCATTCAATTTGGCTGTTCGTCGTTTAGTTGGGCTTCCGGTAAAGGTAGCCGATATCTCGAAATCTGAACCGACTGTTATGACTTCTATGAAATAACTACAGAAACAAATATCCACCGTCGCACCAACGCTGAAATTGAGAAGGCTATTGTTCAACAACGACGAACGCGCTGAGTCGTCCATACCGGGTCTCTCTACATACAATAAATTATTATAGTAGCCTAAGTGTCATGCACAATTACCACAACGAAATGATAAAAAACGCTGCTTAGTGAAATTCAGATTTATCCAAGAACCAGGACAGATTGATGAATAAGAAGTTACTGCGGTATAATACAGAGAATGATAACCAATACTGCAGAGGGGGGGGGGGGGCGATGAGAGTTCAGAAAGGGAGGGGTTCGTGATTGACTTGGTACTGATGCTAGCTTTAACATCATGTGTTAACAAATCAGATAAGCCCACTATGCAAAGTAAAGGCCCGTTAAGGTATAGTTGATTCGTTAACCGCACGGACTGGATAGTACTGCGGAGCACTCATACAGTCGATGGGATACCTCCAGAGGGCAAAATGGGGGGGGGGGGGGGGTAGCCGGGGCCTCCTCGGCGCGAGTTCGCCACTTGTTCTCCGGAGCCCTCCCATTTTGTGCTCTGGGTGACCCCCGCGGCATACTGTAACTAGCCCTAAGGCATACTGTAACTAGCCCATTTAAGCTCCAAACCCCAATTATGCCCCCAAACCCCACCCCAAAAACTAGCTCTAGACCAGGGTCGAGCAAACGATGTGGCATACGATCGCCAAACACGACCCCCCTCCCCGTGTAGGAATTCAGCACGACCCTCCACCCCGTTCTCTACCCCCTCCCTCTCACCCTCTGCGTTTGTAGATAACAAGATAGAAGAATGAAGACAAGACGAGACATTTATTTCAAACTAGCGTACACATACTTAATACAGTGTAAAAATGAGTTTTTCCTGATGAAATTCTACGGGTGAAATATGCATACCCAAAGATCATTATTGCTTTGTTCGGACTCGCATCCATCTCGTCCGCGGTTTCCTGATTTTTCTCTTCTTCACTTCCCTCAACATCAACTTCATCTCGAAGCGTATCTGCCTGCAGATACACGGATGCTTCTGCCCGATCACATCTTTGTATGAGAAACTGACCCATGGCTCGATTCAAAGCCACTTTAACGCATAAGATTGATTCTGCAGAACTGCAAGATCTAAAAATGAACAAGAATCCTATTTTGAGCGAAGGACACCCTTCCGGTATCTGAGAGTTCAGTTGACCGAATTCTTTCAAAAGATTTAGCCTGGAGGAGAATTTTTGGCGACATTTGGCCTCAAACAGCAGCACTTTTGTTTGGCACAGCTAAATCCACATATGCAGTCAATTCTCGCAAAAACTTAAGCAAACCTTTGCATCATATTTTTCAGTCTTTGTCTCGAATTCAAGTATTTTTTCAAATTAATCCCGCGCTTCATCAAATGCTCCAAGGTCCATAAATGCTTGCGCTATAGAAATTGCAGCAGTGCACTTCTCTCTATCGGTGACGCTTCTATAAAGAGATTTCGTACAGAGACAGATATAAATCAAGAGATAAAAATCACTTCTCTGTGTCATGCAAGATTGACTTAAATAATGTCAACGTGTGCAAGCACGCGGAAAGATGGATGTTAAAATTAGGGTGGGTTTCCTTTAGCCCTCATCAAACAGACAACATTTACATTCGTGTTCTCAAGTCAACTATAACGAACATCTTGAACATAAATGAAGCTGTATACTTACTGGAACATCAGCTGTGTGTTTCACTGCATGCTCCAATAATTCATTCCTGTCACCTCTGAATTTTGAGATAAAAATAAGGGGAAACTTCCATTGATACTTGTCATTTACCCACAAGAGCAAAGTGAGTCACCGAACAGTTCGTGCATCTTCCGTCGTTCAGCCCTTGAACAGCTAAGACCTTTTGATCGGTTCAGTCTGCTAAAGTACTTGTACACTGAAAAAGAAAACCGAAAACACTCGGCAACGAAAAATTAGCCCAGCTTCAAGAAGCTCTGCATCATCAGGCATCAGTGAGGATTTGTGATGCGTGATGTAGCAGACACTTAAGAAGAGCGTTCTACGCAGCTAAAAAATCACCGGCAAATGTCAGAACCTAAGAAGATGCTTATTACGCGCAGACAAATTAGCATGTATACCTGCGCCAATTCCATGATTGCTTGACCTTTCTTCTTCGAAGGAGCAAAGTTGACAAGTGTTTGCGCATTCTTTAATGGTGATTCCCACACGAAGTCTATGCGGGCCAGTAGAAGCTGATATTCGAGCTCGGCATCTTGGTTCCTTCTAGATTCAAAAGTCATGAGTTCTCAAAAAAAAGACATAAGGTAAAAATAGTGATAAGAAATAGATTTTTGAGCAAGGAAGTATAGAGACGCAAACAGAGCTACAAATTTACTTTGCATAGGCATACGCCGTATTCCAATACTTTTCGGTTTCAAATTGGCGTTGAAGATTTGCGCATATACCGGAGCACAAGCCTTTTCTTTACAACTCATTCACTCGATGCTCGCAAAAGCAATCAAAACCAACCAATCCGGCCTTTCTTCTTGCAGAGTCTTCAGCAATCCTCACTGCCGTTCTATGACAATCAATCCTATGGCCAACTTTTCTGATATAGTCGAACTTTTCAGACACCAAGATAAACCCTAGAAGAATGAAAGGAGGTAATTTGATATCCAAAAACACCAAATCACTTCTTCAAGATCAGCTGTGTTTTACTGCTGCATGGCTAGTTTGGTAGGCGCCAGACTAAGCGACTGTTTTGTTCAGCTGCAATAGGCGCGCAGAATTAACGTCAAGTCTGCGCTCGATTGTCTGCTTCAGCTGCAGGTGCCGCGCAGAATTAATGTCAACTCTGCGCGCCTTCTGCAGCTGAACAAAACAGTCGCTTAGTCTACACCTATCTTTCTCGTAGATCCAGCCAGAAACATGAAATGATAGCTGAATTTGAGAGCAGCTTCCACTCATTTGGGGTTTGCCGAAATAGGCCAGCATAATATTGCGTGATTTTTCCCAAGTAAATCCCAACATTCTTAATCACCCTTTTTCCGCGCTGATCTCCGCCAAAGTTCGGTACACAAAGGAGAGATCTAGATTGTTGCTAAGAGCAGTGGCAGGTTGAGCAGCTGAATACAGAGATGAATCGACTCCACAAAGAGAACTAGAACATGACTTGCCTTTCTTGTACATTATTACCGATTCGAAATACCCGTTGCATCGTTGAAAGTCAAGTAGATTCATGAGCAGATCTAGGTGTTTCGCTAGATCAGTGGTTTTCGAGATCGATGCACAGCCAAGACTCTTTCGCTTTCCAAACAGAAAAGCGTACCTCTGTCAGCCTCAGAAGCAGACAACCAAGTGACTTCAAAAAAGTTTGCAAGCAGCCGGCATTCGCGTTCCAATAAGCGCCAGAAAGGATCGTTAAAACTGAGATGTTCGAAAATCACTGACAATGAGAACTGAAAATTTTCAAATGAGCTAAGACAAAAAAATTTCACATATGAGAAATCGGTCGCGTCAAATTACTCACCAGAAAATTGCTCTAAGGCAAGAAAGCCTGCTGTCCATAATCTTTTACATTTCTGGCTGTTGCTCCGAACAAAATCACTTTGGTACCTCAGACCAATATCAGATTTATCCGATTTTTATACGGGTCACCCCTTCCACTATTGGTCTCACTAGTGAAGTAGTGGATGGGGTGAGCCGGATTAGCCGGTTGACCTCAGAGACGTACAAACCAAAGGGGGACTTACCTTGATATGGTCCAAAGGACGGTGTTTGTCAAAAGGTTGGAGAGTGCAACCGCACACAATAAAAGAGTGCTAAAAAATGTTGATGTTGATGGTTGCGAAGGTTGTTTCATACTGCCGCACTAACTGCAGCGGACGGCAGTTGACTGCACTGACCGCACAGACCGCGACGGTCGCAAAGATCGCTGCATCGTTTCGCAAAAGAGAAAACAATTGCGGTCAAGTCGAAACACTGTGATTTACGCCCAGGAAGTTCATAGGTTTCCACTTACTCTTCCCAATCAAATTTTGGCAATTGTTTATCTTTAGTATGCTCATATTTGTTTTGATTTTTCCTGTTATTGCATATTCTGTTTTACTCTCGCTCGTGTTTGGGTCTAGGCATATATAGTTGTTGATTGTTTGGGCAACAAGTATTTATCCTCCCCACCTTTACGAAAGGACGTAGCGATCTGTGCGGCCCTGACCGCAGCTGACTGCAGCAGTCTGCTGCACTCTGCTGCAGTCAGCTGCGGTCAGTGCGGTCAGCTGCAGTCAGCTGCGGTCTGCAGCAGTCTGCTGCGGTCAGTGCGGCAGTCTGAAACAACCCAAAGAGCGACGCTAGTGGAAGATGTGGAAGACACTGGAAAGCTAACCTTTGATTCAACTGGCTTGGCACCATTAGGGCGGGGTTTTGTGATCTAACTGAGGCCGCTCGCGCCCGCGACGCACCTGAGTCTCTCTCGCGCGAGTGCTCTCTGATCACTACCTAGCCTTAATTAGGTCACGAAGCCCCGCCTTTGCCGATGCCAAGCCAGTTGAATCAAATGGTACTATGTGAGAGCTGAGTAACAAAGACGTAACGGAATACAAAGGACGAGGATGAAAAAGGCATATCGAGTGCTGTAGGAAAGAACCATAGCCAAAACCAATCAACATCAGCAATGAGACGCTACCGCTAGTGTCCTGGGCAGATTGGCTGCGCGCCAGCTCTCCGGGGGTCTCCCAAATTTAGGGCACCTCCGGAGCACAGGTTTCCGAGTTCTTCGGTGGACTCGTTTTTGGCTCCTATGTGGCGTCATCAAGAGTGACCGCCCCTCGCCCCGCCTCAATGGTTAAGAGCGCCCCAAGGTGTCCCATATTTGGACCGCTCCCTGGAGGTATCCCATCGACTGTCTCAGCACGCGCCGCGAGGTAAAACGCTTGCCCCAGTACAAATTCCCCATTGTACAAGTTGTGCTCTCGCGAAATTCAGCCGCGCCGCGCGTGGTGCGAAGCGTTTGAACAGTCCGAACAATCAACGACAATATTTATCTATTGTCGTATACAGACAGTAAGCATCAAACGCTACCAAGCATAGTGAGTATCATTTTCATACGTAACTAGTAAGTCAAAAACCCCTGTGGACCCAGCGAATTCTTCGGTTTCCAAATATTGGGCCAACAAGTTACAGAGTCATTTCACGATTAACTTTGTCTGGGTAGAGGACTATATGTCGCCGAAAAAGGGCGGTCCCCGCGGTCATTTGCGACAAATACGCACCCTTGTACATGTGCGGACATGCGTTCCTGCAGGGAATCCGCGCGGGACTCTTCCAAATTCGGCGACATATAGTCCTGCACCCAATTTGTTTTAAAGGTGAGTTAGCTACCTCGTTTTGCACTCAGTACAAAGCTAGACGCTACTCCTTCTTTGCCCACACGAGGGATCCCATTCTAAGTAGCCACCAAACTATGGAATGGAGCCAGCCAAAGTCTCGCCTGTCTCATTTTAGCCTTTAGCCTCATGTCTTTTCAACCGATTCAACTCTGGAATATCACCACTAAAAAGCTGCTTTGGTACAATCTTTCAGTTTTAGTCAAAATCAGACTAAAACCTGGGAGATACTCAGAAATTTGGTTTTCCCTCAGGTTTCCCTGATTTTTCTTGCCAATTTCATTATATCGAGCCTCTCATACTTGATCTGAGCCTTTTGAATTTTTTGGGATTTAGCACTGAAAGCGTTGTTAGGTATCAAAATAAATACTCAAAGATTAGTTTGGTTCTGGTTTTCCCAATATTTTCTCGTCAATCTGCCCCAGTGAGCTTCTCAGACTTGAGTTTAGCTCTTTGGAAATGAGTCAAAGTTCCTCTTTCGAAATATCTAATTTCTGGCTATGCGCCAGAGCTACTATCCATTCTTGGCTAAATGCCAAAAGGCCTGCTATGGGAGCGCGTTTTGCCGTCCTGTTGTATCCTGGGGACCTTGTAATAATAGCGACGCGCATGGGGTTACGGTACCGGCTGTCAGGAAAACCTAAATTCCGATTTCCTCAAAGATTATGCTTCTAGCAACTGTTACTCAGACTCAAGAACGACTTTGGCTTAAATCTCCTGTTAATAACACTAAGACATATGAGCCATACACATAGATTTTTGCCATTCCCGCAATATACGTAGTAGCACACATCAGCTTACCGTCCAATATTCGGAGCATAGGTTTGGAAAAACGACTACATCTTCTAGGTGCTACAATTCCGGATGAATTTCCCACCATGGTGAGAAGAAGGTTTAGCGGCCATAGTGATATAAAAAGCCTAAATGGTTTGGAAAATGGTTCAAAGGTAAGTCAGTGGGGTGTGGCACAACCCCGAAAAAGGGGTGGCAGCTTTTAGAGTTGTGCCACACCCCATTAACTCACATCCAAAAAAACTTCTAGCGAACAATGTATACAAGCATAGATCTCGCAAATTTCACAACAGTAATCTGAGCCTGTTCTCCTTTAGTTTGAAACATTTGCTGAGAGCACACCCACTGAGACGAAGTAAGGGGCGAACGATATTTTGGCAGGTCCTAATTCCACAATCTGGCTTTCACTTAAATGAGATTCTTCACATAGGCAAAGACGGAGTAGTACTTTGTACAGAGTGCTGAATATAGCTAACTCATTTTTAAAATAAAGTTAATCATATTTTAAGTGGCCTCATAGTTGAAAACCTCAGATTCGCCGAAACTTGATCTACAGGGGTCATTTGACATGCTGAACGAAAATTTTAGTTATTTTGTTGTGCTTAGCAGGGCCTCATGTTATATCTACGGTAGGTAGGTGGTAATGCGGGAGTATCGAGACTTTTAGCGGGAGATGGTGGGGGGAGGGGGGCGGTGGAAATCGTATCATCGTATCCGGCGGTCGTGTGCCACACTTCTTGCTCGATGTTGGTGATGAGCTATCATCGAACACCTTTTGCCTCCTAACATCTCTGCGAGTATCATTAGCGGTTTTACTGTGATATCATGATTTCCTCAAATAAGGCCTTGTTTTCATGTCGTAGCTACTTCATCAACTAGGCCAAAAGAGACGCGGCCTGGAACTACATGTAAACGCGCAGCGTTGACAAATTTTCCGATCGGCTTCTGGACGACAATTATGAATAAACGTTGAATCGACACATAATTAAGTAGTAATTCCTTAGTGTGCAAAATCAACAAGTTCGAACCTCTTTACAACAAAATGCTTTATTATCACACAGCAATAGCACCGGTATCACAAATGCTCACATGGCTGAAGCTACACTGCAACCTCAAGCTACAACTGAGATATCCTCGGAAGGCAAATTCGGCAGAGGTCACGCGTTAAGTAGAAAATATTACAGTTTTTTCATTAACAAGATAAGCTCTGACTAGTCCCTACTCTCTACGCCTTTTTCTTCGCAGCTTCTACGTAAAGCACCTTCTTTCGCTGAGCGAACATGTACAAATAAAGTTGAGGGAAACCTGAAACAATTTTACATTTAGACAAAAAAAAGACAATTATTTCCTGGAAGAAAACAATGCGCCTGACCCGGAATGTAAAGGAGTGCCGATATGATCAAAACAGCGTAGAAGGAAAAACCCATATTAGCAGGATTCGGCATTTCGATGGTGTAATGCTTCTTCGCAGCAACCTTCAAAAATGGACTCGTATTAGGAAAAACCATAGCAGAGTTACTTACCTCTGGAAGAGAAGCGATGAGAGTCAGAAGTTCGCCTGTCACGCCAAGAGGATAGAGCACAATGAAGAGAGTATATCTTCAACAAGTCATACTTAATACTTAGCTACTCTGGCATGGTTAAATTCTCCTCCGGATAAGTAATTGCTCATTGACCGCCAAGGAAGGGAAGAAAAATAAATGCCCATAAACTGGCATATAAACCAATTCGTTATCCAGTCAATTTCAACTCACCTCATCCAGGTAAGGAAGTAAGGTATAGCATTGAATAGTCCAAGTGCGTAAAATGAATACCTGATGACCTCTGTAACAGACCATGCAACGAGAAGCATGGGGACACCAACACTTTGACGTGCCTAAAAGATAAGCTTTTGAAGAAAATTTAGTGGAGACAACTGCAAATGGAGTGAGCTACGACTATAATTCTATGTATTTCACCTAGGTACAGTTTACTCGAGATACTTGTGATCAATGTGTGGCAAGGAGATAAAGAATAAACTCGCGTAAAGCGACTGACTTGAGTAAAAAAAAAATTGTAAAAAACTCAAACTGCAAGAACGTACTGTAGCACATGTATGCAGGATAGGCCAAACCAATAGCAAACGACTCCAAACTTGCATAGCAGTAGTGCCCACAGGAGAACGTACGAGACCAACTGCTGCATGGATAACCTAAATGGGAACTCACAAAAACTCTTTTCGCGAAAAATTAGGAAGCAGTTTTAAAAGAATCCCGCACATTTCAGCTTACCTCAAGGATGGCGAGAGTCTGGAAGATCTTTACTTCAATCTCGACAGAAGTGTATAATTCTGGCCAGGATAGATGTTTGGATAGCCCATAGACGGTTTTAATGAGAATGATCCCCCAACTGAAAAATTAAATTGTGCACTTCTGTCATTACTCCAGCCATGTTCGTCTTCGCCATGGCCTGGAAGTGAGAAACAACTGAGATTTCAGAGTCAAGTTGTCATTTGTAGAAAATCAAAGTTATATAACTATGGCTAAACATGAATTGCTGATACCACTAGCAAGGCGCCCTGAACAGAATTAGCGCAGGAAGCTGAAGTGAGTGTAAGGGTAGGTGAAAAGTGCGTGTTTCCATGACCCAAGTACTTCATCAACAATGTAAGCTGCTACATGTAAACGTGACTTTCCCAGAACTATGACTGTTTGCAAGTGATGTTGAAGTGAAGCGAGTAACGTTTCAAAATCAAATCTCATGCTTTCCTAATGACAGTAATGTTTGAAAATCAAATCTCATGCTTTCCTCACTACCAGGCTCAAACGGTGGGAAACAAGTCGAAGCATTACTTGGCAATAACTACAGTACTCGCACAACTGTCTTCTTACTAAGCCTCTTTTTGATAAGTCAAGTAATGAAAAGCCCATGAAATACTGTTGAGAACTGTATAGGGACATCTATTGCTTGCAACATGTATAAAGTTGGAAAGAACAATGCGAAGCAGCCAATCAGTATGTAATAAGCAAATAATAAAACGAATGCTGCAAAAAGTATAATCCTTTTCACATCTTAGAACATCTTGAATGTGTTAGTTATAGTGAGCTGATACTAGAAAGAAAATAAGGTAAGCACTCACCCAAGAACTTGTAAAGCATTATAAACGAAAAGATACAGCTGACTTGGCCTCATTATGGAATCGTCCACAAATTGTAAAGAAGAACGACCACGTTCTGCTAACAAGAGTCTAGTTCGATGCACGAATTCTGCTCCTCCTGTACCCAGTTTTCTAGAAAAAATCAAAAAATTACGCGCAAAGTACGATTGTTTCTGAACAAGTGTGTGACACGGCAAGCTCCTTGTGAATGATAAGCAAAGAAACAGGCGACCCTGACTGCTATGGCGCGATATGCCCACTTCGCTCCTCGAGCATTGATAAGAAAGCAATGTTCTGCTGCATTATCTTTGAAAACAGAAACCGAAGGAACAGCTAGAGCAAAATTACGTCCTTACACAGCAGCTGCTTTCCAGAAATCATAATCGTAAGTTTGAAATTGAAAACCATGCCGTCAGTTTCTGTGTGAGGTGTTGCAGTACGCTAGACGCTCATGCGAGACGAGCACAAAACTACCTATTAGGATTAGGGGAGTCGGCTTTCTGCCCGACATAGAGGGATAAGGATTAACAGGTGCAGTATGTACTTCAATCGAATTAACTGTCTTTGACATTGAAAGCTGTAACCAAACTTCACTATCCGATAGGGATTTGGTGTCTCTTATTCATGATTATCCTAATTTCACGAGTATAAGGTGCGAGGATTTTTTCGAAAATGACCAGCCCAAAAATGCCAAAGGGTTTCGTGACCAAAGAACCCTAGGCACTGCTGCGTAGCCTGAGGGTCCCGAGATGCATAGGCTCGTTTTGCGAAACAGAGCGAGTTGGCTCGCTTAAAAAATCGAGAAAGGTGCACCTTATACTTGTGAAAACACGGTAGTAAATGAGTTCAATACTATTATTTACTTGAGCAAAAAAAATAGAGATTTGTCGCGTCAAACACCAAGTAAAGTCCTGGAAGCTCGAGCGGTGAGGTAGTACCAAATTAGGAATATGCTGATGACAGTAGAGTTTTGAGGTCAGCGAGAAGTTTCTTTAGGGCAAACATGAAATCTTGGCAATGGCGGCGGCCGCGCGCGTCGCGTGCGTCTTTGAATTTCGCATTTCCTTGGATTCCATCTTTACTCAACTCATTCATTCACATGCTATGGTAGCATTCAGATTATGAGGATTACGACAAGAACTTACTGCATAGCGGCGTTCTTGCAAATTAGCTGCGATTTTGAGAAGTCCCCAAAACACCTTGAAGCAGGTTCAATTTTGAAAATGCTTTTACGGGGGTGTGGTGCGGAAGGCGACAATCCCCAGTTTTGTGCCTATAAGAAACTCTCCGGTGTCAAAGTGACAACCCGGGAGACTACGAAGGTGGGGGATGGGGGCAGATACATTACTCAATGTCACAAGTAGAATTTGAAGTCATTGAGACGGATGATATACTGCCTCCACTTTTCGCCGATTGTCACCTTCTGCGTGCCCCCCTCCCCTTCTACGGAATACCGGCGTGATCTCTGCCACAGTGATTACGACAAACTGCAGCGATCATGCAGGCCCTTCGAAAAGTCGTGACGACGAACTCGACTGCGGTTTCTGAGCCCACCTAAACATTAAAACAATCAGCAAACATCACTATAGTGCTGGGACTTCTTTCTTCTTCTTCTTCTTTATCATCGCCATTGTCCCGCGAGCAGGGTCGGCGGTATTGTACTTTTGTCTCCATTTGACTCGATCAGCTGGTTCTTGTGGTGTGACTTTTGCAATGTGCATGTCGCTTCAAATGGTGTCCAAACAGCGTTATCGGCCGGCCATGTGGTCTCTTCCCTGTGGATCTAGACGAAGTGCTGTTTTTGCTAACTGTATTATCTTCACTTCGTAAAACGTGACCATACCATCGTACTCTGACAGCTCGCACCTTATCCGCAATATGTGCAACTCCAAAAATGTGCCGCACGTCGGTGTTCGTGACGCGGTTTCTTCGCATTAGGCCTGTATCCATCTTATCATTCGCGTCATCGTGCTCGGATCTGCTCGTGTTTTCTAGTTGCCGGCCAACATGCTACTCCGTACAGGATGACTGGCCGTACCACAGTCTGATATATTTTTGACTTGAAATATATTGGAATTCGGCGGTCTCAGAGTGCTCTTGTTACTTGACGCCATTCAGCCGCGTCGCCTTCGTCCTAGCACGAGCATCAGTGATCGTTTCGCAATCCGACATCACTCGGGAACCCAGATATTTGAATGTGGTAAGCACTTCGGTGGTTGCCCATCGATGCTGATTGTACCGTTGGTCTTCTCCTCGCATTCCAGGTACACAGCCTTTTCCTACCAAATCGCGTCTTCCACCTCACGGTTGCCTCTTCAAGCTCCTGCCTCGATACGCTTGCTAGTTCGACATCATCCGCTTAGAGAAGCGTTCACGGGTGCGACAGCTAAATGTCCCTCGTCACCATATCCATCCACAGTATAAGGCGAAGTGGTGATGGAGACGATTCTTGATGTACTCCGAACATAAATTGGGAACGGTGTTGACGCTCACACTGCACAGCGTACGACTCTCGTCGCGTTCGCTCAAAAAAATTTGATCCGGACGCACTCTTCTGGGATGTCGTTTTGTCTCAGTATATACTAGATCAGCGCGTGTGGTATCCGATCAAACGCTTTTTCTAAACCCAAGAATGCGGAATGAATTGGAATCCGCTTCTTCAACTAATGTACCATTAGTACTCGTACGGCGTGGATGGCGTTGATGGTACCAGATTCTTCTACAAAACCCGCATTGATTAGGGGTGATCTCTACGTTACTTCGGTGTGTCGATGACTCGCTCCAGATCTTCGTGTGGCATAACAAGCGTATCAGTCGATATGTTGAACAATTGCTGACCTTGCCCTTGTTAGATTGGGAACTATGACACTAGTAGACTAGATTCGCGACACCTGCCCGTGATGATGATCTGATTGAAGAGTGAAGTAAAGCAATCCACTCCACGTTGTTCCATCATCTTCCATACTTCAGCAGATTTGTCGTCAGATCCCGAGGCTTTACCGCTGGACATCTTCTTAGTGCCTGCACAACTTCTGTCTCCTCAATCCGAGGTAGCGGTCCGAATGTGGGCGTTCTTGCGGTACTGGCGGGTGCGGGAACTCCTCATTACTAGACCTTTCTTAGTACTCGCTCCACCGCCTGAGCTTGCCCTCGGCTTCGTCAGGAGTTTGCCTTCTGCATCTTAGATGTGCATGATGTAGATGTCTTGCTTCGCTCGATGTCGGGCAGCGGCCACTTTGTAGACATTGTTGGCGTCAGCAGATCCCTCCAACCTGTCGTAGAGTCTTTTGTAGTGTGCTTTCTTTGCCTTGGCTACCACATTCGCTCTTGAGATCAGCTCCCGACATTAACAAAAATCCTCGTTTGCGTCAAAGCCTTGCCAGCTTTTGTAGGCTTCTTTCCTCTCCCATAACTTGCCGGACTGGCTCGACCATCACCAGATTGTCGACATGAGTGCTGGCTGAGTGGTCCCTAAGATCTCCTCACCCGCGATCGTATCTGCGACGTAATTCGATTCCATTGGTCTTCAATCGATTCTTTATCATCTGTCGACAACTCTAGACCGTTAAAAGCTTCTCCGCCTTCCTGGCGATCTCAAGAAGCTTCCATCACTTGATTCTCTTTGCATCCTCTGAACATTTGTAGGTTTCAGCTAAGACCAGAGCGATAGGTTTCAACTAAAACCAAGAGTGATAACTGGTCTTTGTTGCCTGACGTCGACGTTTCGTTCAACGCCCTCCTCGGAGCCTGGAAAGCCTACAGTGCTTATCAAATAGTGTCGCTTGCACTAGCATCTCCAATCCCGCGCTGGACTCTGCGTCTCCTCCGCTGAACATGCTCTCTGAGCATTTTCCCACCGTAAGTGTGGGAAAGGCGGAGCCTCAATCGATTGAGAGTGAATAAGGAGCATGTCCGCGGAAGAGACGCAGAGTCCAGCGCGGGAGTGGAGATAGTGGAGATGCTGGTGCAAGCGACACTTCATTTGATAAACCCTGTAAGTCATAGTGGACCATGCGCACAGACTTCAAAAAAGAAGACGAAACAAGACCGAAGAGAAAATTAGTCCAAACAGCTGAACCGGAGCCAGTAACACTTTTTACTCACCTTAGACCCAAAGCCATAGCTGAATCAAACTACCATATGCCGAGCTGTGCCTCAACCTCGCTTTTTCTGATCTGAGGTTTATTACTCTTCAAACGTCAAAATGCATATTTAAAAAAATTTAATCCTTGATACTTGTAATAAGCTAGCGGTTGAACAAGAATTGTGAGGATTCAGTTCATGTGCTTCCTAGCAGCGCAATACCGCTTCCGCATCTTATCTATCTTATATATAAAGCTGAATGTCTGTATGTCTGTCTGTATGTCTGTACGTATGTGCGGAATAGAAATTTTTATTTCTGAACCGATTTGGACCAAACTTGGCACACATATACTTCGGGGCAAGGAGCGTGTCATAGGCTACTTTTCGTTATCGATCGATATCGATTTTATCGATTTTTTGCAAAATTTGAGCTACGGGGCTGGGAGTTGGCACAGGGGGGTAATCGAGCATGCTGATTACGAATATAATAATGACAGGGCCGGGCGGAGCCGGGTTTGGCAGCTAGTCTTATATATAGCTGAATGTCTGTTTGTCTATATGTCTGTCTGCATGTCTGTCTGTATGTGTGTACGTATGTTCCGAATAGAAAATTCCATTTTTGAACCAATCCGGACCAAACTTGGCACACATACACTTCGGGCCCCGGCGGGTGTCATAGGCTACTTTTCGTCATCGATCGATATCGATTTTATCGATTTTTTGCAAAATTTGAGCTACGGGGCTGGGGTTGGCACATGGGGGTAATCGAGCATGCTGATTACGAATATAGTAATGACAGGGCCGGGCGGAGCCAGGTAAGTCAACTAGTACATATATAAAGTTGTATGATGGTAAATTGTTGGTTAGTGTGTTCTCTACAGAAATTTTTGTGTGTGAACCGATCACGCCAAACTTTGCACACATAGGTACTCAACAGCGTTCTACCCCGTAGAATACTTTTCGCGGCGAAAATCGCACTCCTTCTATTGATTTATTGATTTTGAAGAAGAATAAGTTCTATCATATTTTATTAAACAAATTCCAGCTTTTGTGTTATCATATTTTATTAAACAAGTTCCAGCTTTTGTGTAAACAACTGCGGTGCTCATTCTCATTTCACGATGAGAAAGAGCAACGGCGCGCTCAACAAGTATCTGTCCTGCGTTACAAAAAAAAGAAAAGGAAGCCAAAACGCATATAAATTGAGCCTCTAGAGGCGTACCGATTTCGCTCCTAATTGGGCCAGTTAAACCCACAGTGCAGGCGAAGCTGCGCATGTCAGCTAG